TTTATACAACCGTCACTCCTTGAGCGTCTTCATTAACACCATCCACCAAGATCTAGACGCCCATTACTCGATGCGTTGACCGTGGGCTACACAACAAACGGGTATCAAGGTGGTCTGTCTGAGGCTGTGAGACCTAAACCTTTTAACGCACGTTGACCTGAACTTGTCAAGTCACGCCTCACGCAGTTGTCTTTCTTCCCTTTAGGCTCACTGAATTTCTTGGTTGAGGTCCATGGGCTGAGACCTGGATAACTATCCTTCTTTCGTCCCTCGGGCTCTGTGAAGATACTCTGAAATCAGGTATTCTGGAAAAACCCACCTTATACAAGTTACTCGTCAACCAACAATCGAAAGAGCATCCAACACCCCATAACTCAGCCGAACTAAACTGGACTGGACTGGACTGGAGTGGACTGCATACACAACCCCCCACAAGCGCTACGGTTGTGGTGCGCCTTGGGTTCGCTGTGTTCAGCCGCATCATCACTCCCCTCGGTTTCGGTCATCGACTTGGACATCCCGTGGGGTTCCCCTCATTATCAACTGGAACTAAGACCGCGGGACTATCTCTAAAGTCAGTCGAGACAAGATGAACGAACCAACGATATTCGAACAACCCATCCACTCGAAGGATAAGGATCCGGAGGTGGGCGAGGATGCCATTTATATGCCCGAGTATGGAGCGAATGGGAGGGGCCCGTCGCGGGTTGGTGAGGAGGGAGAAGAGGAGGATGATTTTAGGGATTATGTGTTTCCTGAAGGTTAGTTAGTTAGTTTGACTTCTGATGACCTGCGTTTTCCGTCTCGGTCTTTTGAGTCTCTCTTCGGTCTCTTCCAAGTCTCTCTAATCTCTTTTCTGTCTGTCTTCAACTGCTTCCCGGCCCCTCTTCATCTTTTTTCAACCTATCTTTTAATTCTCTCTCTCTCTTCACCTCTCTCTTCACCTCTCTCTTCACCTATCTCTTCACCTATCTCTTCACTTAAGGCTCTCCCTCTCTCCACGTTTCTTCGCCTTCCATTAACACCCAATCCCAGAGCGAAAACTAGGAACATGGTCCACAGCCTTCCTTATCTTCAACCGTGTCGTCGGCGCTGGCATCTTCTCAACGCCATCCTCCATCATCCACAACACCAATAGCGTCGGCGCCACGCTTCTCTTCTGGGTGTTAGGTGGTGTAATGACCTTTTGGTGAGTTTTGTATCATCCTTTCTTACCTTGCCCTACACCATATCTATGTACTTTCACCACTTTGACCACTCGAAAAGCGGCTAACTCGCATCCTCAACCACAAAGCGGGCTAGCCGTCTACCTAGAATTCGGCACCGCCATCCCTCGTTCCGGCGGAGAGAAAGTTTACCTCGAACGCGTCTACCGCAAACCCAAATACCTAGCAACCTGTATCTTCGCCGTGCAATTCATCCTCTTCGCCATCTCCACCGTCGGCTCCGTTTCCTTTTCTTCGTACCTCCTACGCTGCGTCCTCGGCTCTCCTGACACCACCACCACCGGAGGCACCGCGCAAGAAGATGCAACCAAATACGAAGGCACGTGGCTAAACCGGGGCATCGCCGTGGCAGCTATTACCGCCGTCTGCCTCATCCACGCATTCTTACCTAGGTTGGGCATTTGGCTGTCCAATGGTTTGGGGGTGTTCAAGCTGGTGCTGTTGATTTTGGTGGTATGTACGGGGTTTGCGGCGTTAGCGGGGAATATGGAGGGAGAAAGCCCGAGAAACTTTTCGAGCTTTGATGGACCGGGGGATGCCACGGGGAATGGTGACGATCAGACGGACGGGATGGGGAATAATGTCGCGGGCAATGCGGCGGGGTATGCGTTGGCGTTGTTGCAGGTTTTGTATAGTTATGGGGGGTGGGAGAATGCCAATTATGTGAGTGACCCCTCGGAAGCAACAGGCAATGGGTTGGTGAGGTAATGCTAACAACGGGTTTGTAGGTGTTGAGCGAAGTGAGGGATGCGCCGAAGACGTTGAGACTGGCGGCGCCGATTGCCATCGGGACGGTCACCGTCCTTTATGTCCTTGCAAACATTGCCTATGTGAGTATCTCCTCAAGGGTCTCACGAGATCTTCCATGACTGACAACACACAGTTCGCCGCCATGACCAAAGACGAACTCTCCAAATCCGGCGTCGTCCCCACCGCCATCTTCTTCACCCGCGTCTGGGGTCCCTCGGCCTTCACCGAGCGCGTCATGCCTCTCTTCCTCGCCCTCTCCGCGCTCGGCAACGTCTTTGCGCAATCCTTCGCCATGCCCCGCGTGAAGCAGGAGCTCGCAAAGGAAGGGACTCTCCCCTTCTCGCGCTTCTGGGCGAGCGACTGGCCCGAGCAAAAGTCGCCCACGGGCGCCATTTTGTTGCATTGGATCTTCACCGTGGCCTTGATCCTCGGATCCAGCACCAAGGACGTGTACCAGTTTCTGTCAAACATTTTTACCTACTCGGGCAACTGGATCAAGGTCTTCCTTGGGGTGGGGCTGTTGTATCTCAACTTTACGCCGAGCGAGAACTGGACTACGCCGGAGAACAAGCGGTTCCATAGTTATCCCGTCCTGACGGTGTTTTGGGTTGTCGGGCTGCTGTATACCTGTGCGGCGCCGTTTATCCCGAACAAGCTGCTGACCAAGGTTCACTTTTCGGTGGTGCCGGCGCTGGGGACGGGCATGCTGGTTATCGGCGTGATGTATTGGGTGGTTTGGGCCAAGGTGTTGCCGGCGTTTGGGTTCTCTATACAGCACGAGGTGGTGGTATTACCGGATGGAAGTGAGAGGGTCAAGTATAAGAGGGTGAGGCCGAGGGGAGGTAGGAGTGGTGCGAGAGGGAGGAGGAATGGGGGCAGGGGAGGGGGGAGAGGAGGAGGAGGAGGAGGGACGACTGTTGTGTGGAGGTGATAGGGCGTGTGCACTTGTCGATGTAGAGAAGATACAACGTAGAAAAGCAGATCAATGATTCGCGTCTTCGTTTCAGGCACAAGATAAAAGGGGATTTGTTTACTTTGGATGGAGTCTGTGTCCTTTTACCCCTTTTTTTATCCTTTTTCCCTTGGAGCAGAGCCCCTTTTTCGGATGGCGCAAGCGCCCTGGGATCGATCTACTTTGGCCGGTGGAACTAAGTGTCTGATCAACATGCCGGTGGGTTAGATCTTCGTGTTCACTTCCATGAATCCCCAATACGAGATGGACCATTGATGTTATTTGGGGTGTCAAAGTTGAACTTGCTGCCAGTCATGTTGATGGGAATCCCAACCGCCAAGACGAAACAAGAGCGGATGGGAACACTGTTTCAGCGCCAAGTGCCTGTAGCAGGGCAAAGGAAAGGCGCTGTGGACGGACACACTGCAGCCGAGGCGGACAAGTCGGCCAGGTGGGGAACGGGACGCGGGGCTCCATCGGGCTTAGCGGATCCCGTCCAGTTCAATGTGCCGTTACGTGCGGGTGTGTTGTTGTATCGACCTAACAATTCCCTTCAGTGGACTGCGGCCCCCCCCCTGACAGCAGTGACGGCCAACCTCCACCTTCGGAACACCACTTGACACCACCCACCCTGGCGAGAGGAAGTGGTTTTGGTGTCCTTCTTGGGAATACTACCTCTACCACCACCACCACACTTCAGTCTCACTTGTCAACAACATAACGAGTAACGACCTAAGCGCGCCCGGCCCCGTCAGCCATGCTCCAGCAGCCCTACGCCGTCGACTCCGTTCATGTTCAAGTCCGATGAAGGCATTGCTGCGCATGCATGCCTTGCTGCCCTCTGTATCCGTCCATTCTCCAGCCAGCCAGCCAGTTCCAGTTCCAAGTTAGCTTCCGTCTAGACTGAGTGTACCTAGCTGCTCGATTCTCCCACATACGCCTACTACGCCTAACACGCCTACGCCTCGCTTCACCACTTCAGCCTCGCCAGACTCTCGACTCTTTCCTCCCATAATCTCCGAGTCGATCTGCGGTCGACCCTTGTTGCGCCATAACCAATGTCTTGGGACTTGTTAAAGCGGTTCCTCGAGAGCGACGTCTTCAACCAAAACCCCTTTCTCTCCGTCTCCTACCTCTCGTCAGTCAGCCATTCCGTTTTGCCAAGATTCGCTACCCCTCCTCCTCCTCCTCCTCTTTCTCTTCTCCTCACTCGGCGCGGCGCGTATACTGGCCCGGCAAGACAGACACTAACATGACCGTACCGCCAGACGATATGCCGACCACATAGGAATTCACTATGTGTTGTGCAGCAAGCTGCGCCAGTTCCCCTACGAGGACATCGAGTTCTTCCTCCCTCAGCTATGTCACCTTATCATCAGCATCGACAATGAGTCCATGGCCCTGGAGGAGTTTCTCCTCGATCTATGCGAGGAGTCGGTCACAGCAGCCTTGTTGGTGCGCAGCCCTCTATACACCATCTGACGCTTTACACGACTACGAAATGCTGATATCTCGCCCGCTCGCAGACATTCTGGCTCTTCCAAACATACCTACACGACCTATCCTCTAATCCACAGGCCAATGCCTTCAAGATATGCCAGAGAGTGTACAACAAGGTGCAGCATATTGTCTTTGGCGTCTCCGACAGTGCAAGGAACGAGAAGATTACGGAAAACGCTTTGCCGGTGACTGTCCTTGGGAGCTTCGTTCTCGCCAGTATCGCCGCCCCGTTTCTCCCCCATTGGGCTGGCCCGCTGGCCGTCGCGCAAGCCAGGAAGCCCCGCCCTCAAGTCATCGAACCTGTGTTGGACGCTACTCCCGTCAACGCCGCCCCACCTGCTCGCGCGCATACCGTCACTGCTGGTACAACAAAATCGAGACGGGCAAAGGAGGCCCGCCTTACAAGCTCATCGGACCATCAGCTCCAGAGCAACAACAACAGCCCGGTGGCGCATCGCCCCAAGCCCAAGATCAAGGAACCTCAGCCTGACTCCCGGCCGACGTCTTCGGGGTCTTCTATCAAAACGCCGGTAGAGTCTAAGCGACCTACTCCTTTCGATTCCAACGTTTTGGAGGCACGTCTTAGTTCATCTTCGCTGCCTCTACCAACGTCGAATGCCAATTCTCCAGGTCTTGTACGCAGGCCGACCACTCCGGCCCTGCGGCCAACGACTGGAGTGAACAGGAGGCACTCCCACCATGTCAAGACGCTCTTGAACCAAGCGGACATGAGCCGCACACAAAAGATGCGGCTACTAAAACAAAACTACTTCCACTGCCAAACAGCATTCCTGACCGCACTAGAGGATATTTCAAACCGACTAGTAATAGTACCAAAGGCTGCACGCCTAAGTGCCCTACGCGCTGAGCTGGCTCTAATCGCTCAAGAACTCCCGGCCGAGGTCGATATCCCAGTCATCTGCCCTCCTACTTTGGTCAACGGCTCTCCTTCGCAAAGCCGACATCACAGGATAGTCCGTCTCAACCCGGCTGAGGCCACGGTACTGAACAGTGCTGAGAAAGTGCCTTTCCTCCTAATGGTTGAGATTCTGAGGGAAGATCTCACATTTGACCCGGATTCTCAAGATAACCAGAGACTTCTGACACAGCTTTTGGCCGAACAAGGAACCAGGAGGCGGATTTTTGACCTTTCCGAGTCTTCTAGGATACCAGCCACGCCCCGTTCTCAGGAGCCGGTCATCGATAGTGTTTTTGAGCCTTCCTCGGGGGATCTAGGGCACTCGCCACTAATAAAACCGCTCAACGACGAGCCCTTTGCCATACAGCATAACCCCGTCCCTGGCGGTCTCCGCCATGCTGCCACTACTGGGACCAGCTCGACACAATTCGTTGACCTGACGTCAACGCCTCGCAGTTCTGGCACTTCGGGATCCTCTACCCCACCTTTCAGGAGGATGACCCTCCAAAGTCCGCGCAACAACGCGGCCGACCAACCTGATTTTTCTGCCCTTGCCATCCATATGCGGACAGCCTCGCAAATGTTGGCGCAGTTGGATGCAACAAGTGGCAAGCGGCCGCGTCATGAAGTGGCCGCAATCAGGGCAAAGATTATTGCCAGCATGCAGAGTCTGGAAGAGGAGAGTTTTGAAGTCCATGATAGCCAAGGGCCGACCTTCGACATGATTATGGCCAAGGCCAGTGCAGAAAACGTTATCAACGGCAATGTCGCCACGGACGAAGAAATCGAGGCTCCCCTGGAGAAGGTCGAGTCTAACGTGAATCCGAACGCCGGTCTAGCAAGGATGGAAAACGATATCAAGACAGGCGGTCTCCAGCGTAAGGGCGATCGTGATGATCCCAGCGCTGCCGTCTTCGGAGAAGCTTGGGAGATGAAGAAGGAGCGTATCCGCAAGTCCTCTCCTTACGGCTGGATGAAGAACTGGGATCTCGTCAGCGTCATCGTGAAAACGGGTGCGGATCTTCGTCAGGAGGCATTTGCCTGCCAGCTGATCCGCGTGTGCCACAAGATCTGGGTAGAGCACAACGTGCCCGTCTGGGTGAAGCTCATGCGCATTCTCGTTACGGGCGAATCATGCGGTCTGATAGAGACCATTGCCAACGGCGTGTCTCTGCACTCGATCAAGCGCAGCCTGACACTGGCCACGGTCGAGTCCGGTCAAAACCCTAGGAGGAGGATTGCGACGCTCAAGGACCATTTCGTCAAGGCGTTCGGTTTGCCCGAGAGCCAGGCGTACAGGTCGGCTGTGGACGCGTTCAAGAGGTCGCTGGCGGCGTATAGCATCATCTCATATGTGCTGCAGCTGAAGGATAGGCACAACGGTAACGTGCTTATCGATAATGAGGGGCACATCATCCATATTGACTTTGGCTTCATGCTGTCAAACTCGCCCGGTTCGGTTGGGTTCGAGGCGGCGCCGTTTAAGTTTACATATGAATATCTGGATGTGCTGGGTGGCGTGGACTCGCAGGATTTTGCAGACTTTAAGCAACTCTGCAAACAGGCTTTCCAGGGTAAGTTTCTCTTTCTCATCACTCTTACTAGGCATGGAGAACTAACGACTGTTATAGCCCTCCGTCGTTCAGCAGACAACATCATCGACCTCGTGGCCATGATGGGCCGAGAATCCAAGATGCCTTGCTTCGGCGCGGGCATCTCGCAGGTAACGACCTCGCTCAGGGCAAGGTTCCAGCTGCAGCTGAGCAAAGATGAGGCGGAACAGTTTGTGGAGACGGATCTAATTGCCAAGTCGTTGGGAAGTTATTATACGCGACTGTAAGTTGTTCAGGACAATTCTTGATCCGAGTGAAATGGGATGCTAACAAAAAGGCGTGAAACAGTTACGACACTTTCCAGTATAGAACACAGGGTATCTACTAGACAGCTTTTGAAGGATCTACAAGGGCGATTAGTCCCGTGTATGGGATATCACCTGAAACAGGAGACACAGATGGGGAGGGAGGAGGGACTAAAGAAATTTAGAGAGGAATGGGTTAGGTCGGATGAAAGACCGTATCGGTAATGGGATGAATGGAGACAACAAGGTGGAAATACCCCTTCGTTTTTGTATGAGGAGGGCATGGGAAGATCTAAACGTATATATCACGGTGTTCCCGATGTCAAAGCACGGCAACCTCCATAATGAAGAAGGCGAAGAGCGGAGAAGAAGTGCTAAATTTTCGGAGGGAAAGTTCAATCAGATTCAAGAAGGGCATCTCGGCGGCGTTCATAACGGGTAGAGGCTTTTATGGATTATGGGAGTGTCTTATCATACTAGTTACTATTATATAAGCGGCATCCATGTGTTTACAAGTCTTTGGATTGTCTGTTTGGTTTGCTGTCTTTGAGTTTGTTGTCTTGACGTCTTTGCTCACTTTCTCCGTCACTTCATGGTCTTTTCTCGTTCGTTTATTTTCTTGTTCGTTTCGTTCCATATCTCCATAAATGCGGATCTTCTTACATCGTTTGAATTTGTAAACCTTTGTTCAAGTGATGATGGTTTATTTGTATACGGTTATCATAAGCCATTCTATAGTGTTGTTCTTGTTCTTCTTTTTTTTTTTTTTTCTTTTTTTTTTCTTCTTTTTTTTTCTCTCTCTCTCTCTCTCTCTCTTTCTCTCCGAGAGACGGGAGTTAGTCGTGTATCAGAAGAAAAAAAAAAAATTCCGAATGGCAGCTGCCTTGTCTTGTTTCCACTTCCTACCTCTACATTTTATTTTCTTCTCCCACTTACTTTTTCCTTTCTTTCTTTCCGCTTTGTTTTCCTCCATCCTCTTTTAGGCACTATGCTGGACTCACGAAACAGGTTCGATGTCAGAAGATAGTCATGCATCAGACGACCGACTAGAATGGTAATAGGCAAAAAGGTGAATTTCTTTTTCATGATACATACCATATTTACTCAAGGGCTGTTTGTTCAAAGAGCAGTATTAGTCTCAACGAACGTCTGTTCTGTTTCGTTCTGTCTTTATGGTATTACCTAATCCTGATACGCCCGCCCGCCCATCGTGCCCCTATGCCCCTATGCCCCCAAAAACCCCCCGCCCCCTGAATTGACCTTCCGACACATCCCATGTGGAAAAGATAGTTGTGTAGTTTGAAAAAAATAAAAAAGATAAGACAAAAAGAGAGACCGATCCGCTCGCTCTTAACGTACGCTCTTCTTTGATCGCTTGCTTCCGCCTATGTCTGTTGAAACACCCGACGTAAAAATGAAAGAAACTGATTATGATAAAAAAAAAAAAGGTATCATGTATACATCACACTACCAGTGGCATCGATCGTTGTTGTTGTTCGTCCCGGATATCCCAAAAAAGAAATTGGCCGTTGTCCAAAATTCGCCCGGTCCATCCATCCTTCCTGTATCACTCATAACTCATCATCCTTTCTAGAAAAAGGAAATCGTTTTCCCCCACTTAATGCCCATGATGCATCCCTCCCATTCCCCCACCACCACCACCGCCACCACCTCCGCCAGCACCCACCCCAAACATCCCCGCAAAACTATCCAACCCCCCACCGCCTAATGCTCCTCCAAGACCGCCCAGCGTATCCCCCCCAATCTCCGGCGGCTCCATATTAAACGGCATGAACCACGCCGAGCTCGGCTCGTTCGAGAACGCTGCATGCAACCCGTCTGGACCATCCCTCCCATTCTCACTATCATGCCCCCCTCCCCACCCCCCAGCGCCACCACCACTGCCGCCGCCGCCGCCGCCTACCAGCCCTGGCTCATGATGTAAGCCGGCAGATGTGGGACCGCCGTAGGCGCCAAAGACGAGCTGTCGGTCCAGGTGGCTCATGCCGTGGGCGTGAGCGGCGCCGAGGTGGGCGGGGAGGGAGAAGGGGTCGGGAGGGAAGAAGGAGCCAGGATGGTGGTGGGAAAGGTGGGCGTGGGAGACACCGACGGGGGAGACGGGGGAGAAGTGCGCTTGTTGTTGAGCTTGGACGGAGAGGGAGTTGAAAGAACCGGGTGGACCGCTGGTTTGGATGGGTGAGGGGCCGGCGCCGGAAAAGTTGCGTTGGTGTTGCAGGCGAGCGGCGTGGATTTGTTCGGCGGTTGGTGGAGGGTGTTGTTGTTGATGTGGGGAGAATTCGGCTTGTATGGGGTCGGGGCCGTTGGGATGGTTCTGCTGTGGTAGGCCGCTGATTTTGCGTGTCATGGCTTTGCGTTTGAGTTGTTGTTGTTGTTGGGCTTGTTGCTGCTGTCGTGATGCTGTTGACCCGTTCACGCTACCCCCGTCCCCACCGCCGGCTTGTGGGGAGAGCGTGGTGAAGAACTCCTCGACTGTATGCAGCTCGGGCTTCTGTTCCAGAACTGCATCGTCGCCTTTCTCCTTCTTCTTGTAGATGGCGGGGTCGAGAAAGTCGGACTGCGAGACACCGTGGGGATAACGGTCAAACCAGTCGCCGTATTGGAAGATGGATGTCGGGTTCTCGTTTGCGGGTGTACCCTGCCTGGCAGCATCGGCACAGGTCCGGTACTGCTCCCGTAGGTTCTCTGACATCCAGTGGAACATGCCCCAGTACTTCTTCATCTTGGATAGGAACTTGACGTTGGTAGCCAGGTTGCGCTTCGATGTTGCCTCTAGCGTTGGGTTACCCGAAAAAATTCCAAATATGTGCACGGTACTGGACAGGAAGGCACAATATCCTGTAAAGGGAGCAGTTACAAAGTGTGATTCAGCATCCTTCAACAGCTCTGATACCCTGTTAGCAGCAGCGAATGCTTTGGCGCCTGCTTTCGTCACAAAAGCCTTGGGGATTTCCTGGTCCGGTTGACCCCGAGGGGATGAAACAGCAAACCTGTTCATGAACAAGATGTTCTGTTGAATCGCGATGTGAAGAAACAGAAATTGGTTGGCCATGTTGTCAGTTTCGTGCAGGTGTAGATTGTCGGGTGTGTATAGTAAAGAGTCGGGCAAATCGGTCAGAATATCCTCTGTCTGTTTAATGAGTTTAGCGTAACCGGATTCGGGACTCCACATAGGATGAGGATCCAACTCTCTGCCTCCTTGGTTGAGATAGTTGATAATTCTGCCCCAGAGAGAGATTGCCTTGATCATCCAGGCCGCAACACCCAGGTTATCTCTGGCCATTGAAGCATCTTGGTCTTCTAAAAGTGGTCCCAGCACCTCGCCACTCAGGGTTTCTGTTGGACCTGGCATGTCGTACTGGAAGTTCTTTTCCTTGATAGGCAGCGGGACCCGTAACGTCTCCTCCCTTATGAACGTGGGCCGGTCTGTGCCTGAAGAGTTGAAGCGATCCATTAGAAAACATGCCCACATGGTCCTCCTTCGGATCTCGCGATCGATGAAGCTGAGTTGTGTGTTCCCTGCTTGTCGGACGGGATCGTGCTCCAGGTCTTTGTGAAGCTGCAGTGCAAAGGCCATACGGATGGCCTGGCCACCCAATGACCAGCTACGGCCACCATGACATGTGCCAAACTCGTGTAAACCTAATATGAGCAGACATGTGAGAATGGTGATATTGGGCCATTCATATCTCTTTGTCACTATATCGCGGGCTGCGGCCGCCCACTCTTCGCCGCGGAGGAAATTGGGACTTGAGTTCAGTTTCGGATGATGCGAGAAACGTGCCGCAATGGCGCAGACAGAGAGGATTAGGACGGGGGGTAAAGCGCCGGCCCTGTGGTAGCGGACTTGTTAGACAATATGGACTATGACGTCTGATGTGTGGGGAACATACTTCAGCTTCCTCATAAAGCTCGGTTTGTGAAGAAGGTGGTAGGCCTGTCCATAGATGTTTTCAAAGTAAACTTCGGCAAGGTGTTCTTGTATTTCCTTGGATGGCAACGCATCCCCGCCTTCCAGCAATAGCTTGCTTTCCTCGGTCTCCTGGATGTGGATCGTAGCAGTCCTGTTCGGCGCGTCAATCTTGGTCTTTGAAGGCCCGCGAGCCCAATTTTCCAAGTCCGAGCCGAATGCTTCGTCAGCGCCGCGCTTCTTGTTGGCTTGCTTCATGTTGTTCAATGTCCCCGGGATGGCAGGCTTGACCACGGCCCTGGTAACGGTAGAGGCACCCTCCTGCTCAGATTTTGGTACGATCTTGATAATCCGTTCCTCCATTCGCTTTAGTCGCTTGTCCAACATAGCCATGTAGTCGGTTCGTGGTGCGGCCTTGCGAGCTGTGACCTTGTAGACACACGGGATTCGCGATCGGAGACAGTGCTTGCACGCGGGTTTCTCGCCGGAACACCGGATCTTTTTGCGTCGACATGCTATACAAGCCAGTGGAAGACGCTTTCGTTCCTTTCCGGCTTTTGTCTTGAGCTCGCTCCATGCGGGCGTATTGTCCGTTTTGTCCCCCTTGCCCTTTGGCGCCGAGCCATCAACCGAGCTAGCAGTCGCAAGGCCAAATTCATCCACTGTTTCCTCAAGCGAATTACCGGCATTTTGATTGCTATCCGGGGTATTACTTTCGGACATATCCATGCTCTGCTGCCGCTGTCCACCGTTCCCGGTGTTAGCGCCGTTGTTGTTGTTGTTGTTGTTGTAGGTCGAGGTCTGTACCGTGATCGAGTCCATGGACGGTGCGTGGGGAGTTGTCGAGAACACATCAGGGGCATGGTCGTCGAAAGTAGCGGAGCCGAGGCCGGTCATGGGCGAGCCATCTAGGTCGTCGTCATAGTGGAACTGGAAATCGGCATAATGGCCATCGACCAAGTCGTGGGCAGCATTGATGCTGCCCAGCGCGTCATTGGAGGTATCCAGCTTGTCGAGAGGGTGGGTTTGGAAGGCGGCAGGGTCGGAGTGCGGCGGGTGGCCGTGTGTGTCACCGCCAGCGGGCGCAAAATCGAGGTCGACGGACGAAAGGCTGTTGTTGTTGTTGTTGTTGAGAGCTTGCGAATCGGCCGGTGGCATTAGGGAAAAAGGGAAAAACAAAGTTTGCGGACCGGTTCGCCAGAGAAAAGTCGACTTCTGCGGCGGGATCTGATCGAAAGAAGGTAGCACCGACTATAACAAACCCGGGGAACGGAAGCTGGGATGCTGTCGCAGGCAGGCCAGCAGTGGCCGGGATGGTGATTTGCAATCCGGGGGCTGTTGGGCTCTTTCAGCAACCAGACTCGAGGAATTTGGGATGCAGTAATTGGCGGACTCCACACTTGTTGCCCCGAAGACACCTCCAGAGGCTCCACGAGACTCTCCAGACTCCAACAGAGGCTCCAGACAGGCCCTAACGGCTCCAATCACCCCGAGCAACTAGCAACGACACTGCTCCACTTCTCCTCGATCTAGGTTGTATTGGAGACTGTACCTGGTAGTGCGTATGGAGAAGGGGCACAGAAGGGGGTTACTGCGTGCCGGTGAATCAGTATCAGAGACTCAGGGTGTGTCTGGCCATGTCCCTGGCCGAAAGCAGAAGTAGTCAAGAGCATGCAGAATAATATGACTGGGGAAGTGTTGGATAGAGTGAGGTAGAGAAAGAGGATGAGCCTGAGGAGGAGAAGGAAGGGGGAGCTTTGGGAGCGCGGTTCTCGGCACCCCGGAAGGAAAGGCCGGCTGACAATTGATTGGCGTGGTTGTGTGTGTGGGAGACCAACTGGGGTGTACCATAGTGTACACTAGGTAGTGTAAGTGGACTTCCCTGAATGGACGGGGATGGGAGCCCAAGCAGATGGGGATGTTGGTACACTACCACTGCGTATACCAACCCCAGGATTTCACATCCGCTGATGTGCTTGTCAAGTCTTGTACGTGAATGTATATGTATTGTACACTATGTTGTCAACGAAGGAGTTGAGCGTTTTGTGCCTGAGTATCTCGTTGCAACTTGTCTGATGCATTTCTTCGGCTTCGCAAGCGGCACTTGTCTCGATTTGGATCATGGATCGCCAAGTCCAACATAAAATCTGCGGCCCACATACATAGTGGGAAGGCGTTTTCGGCGTTAATTGTGGGGTTATATATACTACCAGCTGGGCGTTTCAAGGTCCAGGTCTCCGGCTGCGTCTTGCCAGTGAGCTTGAGCTCATTGCGGGCTCACTGCGGGCTCATTGGGAGGGAACGCCGATTGAGGAGAAAGCAAAGTGGTAGGGGCATCAATGTCCATTCAGGAACCATCGAATAAAATGGCGGGAGTAGGGTTGCCTTCTGTAGCAGCTGGTCACCCGCTGACTCTTCTCAGAACTCTGCGTACGGCGTGAACATGTCTTTGTCCGTATTACCACAGCAGTATTCTTTGTACGCCGCAGCCAAACCCTTCTCATGACCAGCCACACAGCAGGCTGGACCTTATATTGGGGGTGTACTGCGTATGGCGTGGTCTTGTTGAAATGTACAGTTGTTCTGGCGAGAGCCAACGACAAGAAGACCTCAGCCGGAGATAGGGGCACTATGAGCGAGTTGGAGTTTAAACCATTAAGATGACAGGCTGGAGTTTGTGCAGGAGGATATCCACAGCAATTGGTCACTTGAGGCTTTTACGGCGCAGATGTAAGTGTAATGTATTCTAGGATGTCTCCATGTGTCAATAGAGGTACCAAGCTCTTTGTAAGAGACCGTGCTAGCCAAAATATATTGACCGCGGAGAAAGGGCTAGCAGCAACCAAAAAGCCCCACGTCTGGCGAACCGATTCGATGCTGACCTGCGCAAGATTTAGAAAATAACATGGACCAGATCGCCGCGTTGAGCCGATGATGATTCGCTGGAAATACAGCGGAGCCTCGTGTGTGATTGGCCCCGCGGTGGCAGACCGCAACCTCAGCGATCGATACCGGAGTCTGGCCAACCTGTAGAGTTCGTCTCTTGTCTACCACTTCTCCATGCCAAATGCTGCTGCAACATTTCATCCTCTCCGGTGCGTCTGCATTGGCAGATCTTCACCGTGAAGCTCATCTGCATCATGGTTCCTGCTGCCTTGGCAGACGAGTTTGGTGGGGTTCTCCTTTATCACAACATCTCCATGTCCACCTTCTCTAGGGGCCACATGCTTGCAAAGTCGTAAAGACATCAAGTGAAGTTTCAAACAGGGCTGTCTAAGGCCTGGGCATGCTGGCATTTCAGGGAGCCAAGCAGGGTACCTTTACCTAGAGGTATCTCCTGAGAAGGTGTCCTGGGGGTCAAACATGGATCTTGTCTCTCCGACTCCGACGCCACGGTTGCTGCCGCTCAAAACCTCGTGGCAGTCTCCGACATTCGGGACCTAGAGAATTTGCACCATCAGCCTAACCATATGGGGGAGCGCTAACACCGGAAGAGCGGATTTGAGCTCTTGAAGACGAGGGAGGGAGAGCCTCAACAGAACTGTCACACTATAAACACCTTCAAATTTCGGTGACATGGACAGCAAAGACCCACGCTACACAGCACTCGACGATCGAATGTAACAGCGGCCTCTCAGGCCAAGTGTTTGAATGTGCATAAGGGTGCGAAATTCCGAGAATACGCCGGGATTGGTGAAAACTAGTGACTGACACTTTACACAAAGGATAATCTTCAGAGGTAGGTTACTCTGGAGTCAAGCCGTCGCAGAGGGAGGGACTCGCACACTCACACACCGAAATGCTTCAACGAAGTGGGCAAGGTGAGGAAAGGCAATTGATTATTTGATCCCCACCCACAACTGAAGAGTGTCACTCGTTCTGAATAGGGACATTTCGTTTGCTCGTTCGAGTTTCAGTCCAATGTCCGAATGCCAGCTTCACATATTAAGCATTGGGATCGACTGTCGGAAATATGAAAATGGATAACACAAATTTCTTGACAGTGTCAAAATCAGATGTCTGAGAATCAAAAGAAAAAGACTGCGACGGTCCTGTCCAAGAAGAGGAAATCGATGAGTACTTACGCCTTCATCCCACATGGTACGTACTTAGAGGTAGTCATTGCCGAATGAGATCACAAACAGGCAGGAACGAGCAGTCAAGGCGGGCTAGCAACTTCCATGGCCCTCGGGCTGTTAGTGCATCAAGCACTGCAGCTCGTTCCTTCCACTTCACCTCCTCACGGAGATGAACAAATTCGCAATGGTCGGTGCAGTGTCGCTTCACTTTACAGATTTGCAGGTGCAGACTCCGGACCATCACTGCGTGAGCCCCTCCTTGCGTACTATCGCGAAATTCCCCATGTTGCACCTCACTGCATGCTCCCGCGTTGGCCTTTACCCAGAGCCTACTGTAAAGCGAGGACTCGCGGAGCGATGACGGGATTCTGATCAAACTCCGTTCTTCTTCCGATCATGTTCATCTTTGACATTCCCCCCAAATTTAATCTTCTTCTCCAGCACGTTTTCATCAACTCTCGCCTTTCTTAGTTCTGACCTCCTCCTCAACATCTAGCCGCCATGATTATTCCGGGTAAGCTCAACTGTCTTTAACGTTGCAAGCGCTTTGCATATGGGTACAGAGGGGCCACGGGTTGCAATGCTTCGCATCCTCCCCATGTCGTGCTCTCTCGCATTCTCTGCCTTTGAAGCGTCACATTGGGCGGGAGCAGCGAGGAGGAGTGGGCAAGGCATGGTTGTGTTCACAAGAGGCCAGGCATCTGCCAGGAGAGGGTCACACTGCTCGTTTATTTTGTCTTTTAGCTTGTTGCACGGATACCACACTACAAACAGTACGTGGTCGTTGAAGAGCTATTGAGAACTTGACCCGCTTGCAACAGCGGACGGAACATCTCCTAACAAAGCCAAGCAGCACATGACTCTCTTCATTAATGCTGCTACTATGGCTTTTCGCTGAAAGCTGATAATCTTTTGACCCTCCCGTCTCTCAAGGGCGTAAGCACTTCTGAAGTTGACTGCACCAACACTCAGGCAATATAGCCTCCCATCGGATTTGTAGTCCATGGAAAGAAACCGAGTGGTTGCTCCAGCGGGCCCAACTCAACTCCTTCCCAATTCGGCCGCTTGAAAATGACAAGAGTGCGGTGCCATCCAGTCTCGCCACTCTTTGGATATTAGCCCTCTGCATTGCAGAATCAAGTAGGTTGGCAGTCCATCCCCTTATCGGCCTGCCTCTTTGCGCTGCTACACCGAGTGACTGTAGACTAAGGTAATCAACAATTGTTCGAGGTGTGGAGGGGTTTCTGTTCCAGTAAGCAAGGGATAAATGCTGCGCAACAGAAGAAGCTCGGTATCATCAAGAAACAAAGCTGTTACAAGGAAGCCGTTTTCAGTAAATTTTTGCACAACCACTCCCAGACCAGTCAATGTTTCCCATCCGACGACGCAGCTCACACAATAGATGAGTGCTTTTCGGAGCTTGAACATGATGGTGATGCCAAGCCTGCCACTGAGGACTGTTGTACGGCCGGTTTACGAGGAATCATGTCATCTTATCGCGAAGGATTCACGGTGCAGAATCCTTTCGGATCTGAGAACCATAACCCAAGCCCCCTTGCGTTACACAGAAGCGAAATATTACTGATCAGACTTGGCTCTTCTGAAAGATCTTCTAGAGCAAAAACAAAAAGAAAGCCTTTCTCTCACGTGGGAGCAAAAAGCAAAGTGGCGGTTTGATCTCGATGGAAGAAAGCATGGAGAAAGCCTTGGTTGCCCTGGTCACGCTAACATCAGACATCGTCCCTCTACACTGCCCCGTCCGAGACAAAATAGATGAGACCAACCAATAGGTTAGGTAAACAAGACCGCTACCGCTCGCCAAGCTTTTTTTATCTTTCTTTTTTTTTCCTTTTTTTTAAAGAAAAAAAGGGCCGTTGCAAGATTGTGAAAGGGATTACAATAATTCAAAAAGACATCAGCTAGAGTCCCATTTGGATATTCCTATCCAAGAATTGCCTAGAACTCAAAATCAGAGGTGTAACAAAGACGCTTGGATGCGTCGTAGGAGCATACCCCAGGTTTCATATGAAGTCAAAGGTCTCAACTATTTTGTCCAGGACGAGAGACTGCCTTCCACCAGCGCTCCCAGAGAAGAAAGGGGTAACAAAAGCTATAAAAAACTGCATCACGTCGAAGCCTGACGAACTACTAGCCACAGGTAACAACTGTGACACATAACCAACAATAAAGAGGCTACGTCTCCGTCAGCCCGCGGAAGCACCTCAGCTTATGTGCATGGAAGGAAGGCTGGGCATACCCTGACCAGCTCTCAGTGAACTGGTAGACTACTTTCGATTTCTCTAGAACAGGCAACTCGTTCGATCGATGAAATTCAGAAAACTTATTCCAGATTTCAGAGACCCTTCGAAAACGCCGAGTAAAGGCGCAAAAGTAACTGCACTGTGTTCATGTGTTTTTGTCCCTACCTCTACTTAGGTAGGGACAAGCAAGTTACCGTCCTATTAAGACTTAGTCTAACTCAACAAACCAACCCCAATCAACACACTTTTCCGATCTTAAGAGGTTAACCCCGAAAGAAGGATTTCCGTGTAACCATTTATCTGCGGAGCTGCGTAAGCGGGATGGAATCATTCACCCCAGCACCCCAGCACCCCAGCACCCCAGTTCCAATTCCAGTTCCAATTCCAGTTACCAGTTTCAAATGATGAGTCGCGGGATGGCGTCTGCCTGGACCTTGTGTTTTTTGATCCAGATCCACACACTTAGGTATCCATGGATGAATGAATGGATGAATGAATGGGAAATCGAAAATGCACTAGAAAGCTAGTTGCTCATGATAGGAGAGCAGGGTAGGAATTCCCATGTTTGGGGGAATGGGATTCTTGTGGACTTTGATGGGAATGGGGATGGGGATGGGTCAGATTTACTGGGTGGGATAGACAAGGGGGTGACTAGGTAAGCACTTGCACCTGATTTGAATTCCAAAGTACCATCATAGTTGAAATGTAAGAGATGTTGAGTAAGTAGGTAGATAGATGTTGTGAGGGTTGAGGTGAGATCGATGTAGTGAGGTGTTGCATATACACAAAACTGTTCTTATACGGACTCACTTCCTATGATGTCGGAGGTTGTCCTTGGTACTAACTAAGGTAGGTTATGGGTTTGAAGACTAGACTAGACTAGCTACACGGTCGTGCCGCAAACAACAGGAAGACTTAAGAAAGTCCCTTGGACGGACGGCGATGATACTATTAGGAAATCGTAACGAGGCTATCTAGACGAAGGGGATCGGCATTTGACTTGCTGGCTATTCTGCCAGAGTGGCCAACAACCATGAGAAGAGGCTGAAGTTGGTTGTATGGTAGTGGCCAACAGAGTAACAACTGGAAGGCAGGGCCAGATGTTAGGGGGGGTCGAAAGTGCACAAGAAAGAGAGAAAAGAGGATGGAAGAGAGGAAAGGGTGGCGATGACGGCTTTCAGTGACAGGACGGGCGGGGGGGAGGAGAAGGGGAGTGTCTCTTCTCTTCAGGAAAGAGTGAAGACAACACCATCCGAGCGTCATGCTGGGTATGGAACTGAGTAGGTATCAAAGATGAGGATGAACTGCGAGATGAGAGGAAGCATCGAGCATTGGTATAGCTAATTCTAACTTTGTATGATTTCTCCGTAACACCGCGATGCAAATACGCCTTCTAGAGTAAACTAAACGATACAAAACCCTAAACTGAACAAACAAACGTGACCGCCACTGCCTGTCTAACTATACTGACAATCGAACTGGCAACGAAGCACTCTAGGCCTCGACCTTCTCACCGTCCTTCTTGTTCTTGCTTCTCTTCCTCTTCTTTTTCCTCTCTCCCTCAATGATATTATCCGCTCCCTGTTCACCAGCAGCAGTCTCCTTCTTCTCTTCCTTCTTTTCCTCCTTCTTCTTCTCGCCACTCTTCTTCCCATCCTTGTTCTCACCCCTCTTCTTATGCTTAACCGCACTCTCATCCTTCTTGCCAAGGGGCGTACCATCCTCGTCCAGCGCCTCGAACCCAAAGGTAGGACCAGTCGCTTCGAACTCCCTGCCAAACGTCTCGCGACGCCACTGCCTGAGACGGGCCTTCTTGCCAAGCTTCTTGCGTTCCTTGCGCTTCTTCTCGGCGTCGCGGAAAGTAGCCAGCTTCTTGAGGCCGGCGAATTCGTTGAGCGCGGCGTCCGAGGGCGCCAACAAGATATCGCGCGCCGTCATGCCGAACGAGACGGGCGAGGTCTCGCGGTAGCGGAACGGGAACAGGTTCTCCTTGTACTTCTTGTCCTTGGGAGCGGAAAGCGCGCGAGGAGTGTCGAGTTCCATCTTGGTGTCGACCAAAGCTTCAAGCTTGGCCAGTTCCGCCTTGGCTGCCCTCTTGGCGGCTTGCTTCTCCTTCTTGATGTCGGCGGTGGTCTTGCGCTTCTTGGAGGGACGGCCTTCGTCTTCATCGGCGGAGAGGTCGGAGCCGAGGTCGGCGTCCTCGTCTTCGGCTTTTTGATCGTCGCCGTCGGGCTTGGGGAGGTCCAGATCGGAAAGAACGACGTCGGGCGCGTCGTCGAAGTCGGGGATGATATCCTTGATGTCGATATCGTCGTCCCACTCGGGCTTCTTGGGCAGCTTCTTTTTCTTCTTCTTCTTGGACTTGCCGTCCTCGTTGTCCTCCTCGTCGCTGCCGGACACGTCGCCTTCTCCCTCGGCGTAGTACTCCTCGCCGAACTGCTTGCGCATCTCTTCCTCCCACCGGTCGTTGTCCCAGGCGTCCTCGAGGAACTTCATCCACTCCTCGTCGGACAGCTCCTTGCCGGTGAGACCGGCAGCCTTCTTGATCTTGGATAGCTTCTCGGCCGCCTCGTCAATCTTGAGACGACGCAGACGAGCACGCTCCTCCTCACGCTGCTTCTTCTCGGCCTCCTTACGCTCCTTCTCGAGCTGTCTCTGCTTCTTTCTGCCCGTGAGCTCCTCCTTTCTGACCGACTTGGCGTTGGCCAGGTTACGCGAGTACGTCTTGAGCAACTCGTTGCTCTTGTTGGGGTCCTCGAACCGCATGTTGTAGGCGTGCTCGAACTCCTCGGCCATCTCGGGGAAGTTGTCCTCGCCCTCGTCCGACTCGAAAGCCTCCCAGCGCGAGCCGTCGGCGGGCGCCCAGGCCTTGGACTGCATGAATTTGGAAAGGAACTCCTCGGGGTTCTTGTCAGCGTTCTTGACGTCGAGCTCGTTAAGATCGATCGCCTTGGCGCGCGACGGGTGAACGCCGTTCTCGGTAGGCGCCTCCTCCTTCTTGACGGGCTTGATGAAGGCGTCGTCGTCGCTCCACTCCTCGTCTTCGCCGACAGCGGCATTGATCTCAGACAGAATGTTCTGCTTCAGGTTGGCTTGTTCCTCGGCATAGGTCTTGGGCTTGGGCGCGTCATCTTCGTCGGCACCGATGTCACCGGCCATGTACCTCTCGCGGTGGTAGTCGCGCAGGGTCATGGGCTTCTCCTTCTTCTCCTTGACGGGCTGGCCCTCGGCGTCAATTGGCGTGTAGAAAACGGCCTCCTTGTCGTAGATGCGGGGGTCCCTCTTCTTGATAGCTTCTAGGGTGGCGTTGATTTCGGCGTCGAGGTCCTCGGTGACAAGGAAGCCCTCATCGTCTTCGGTCTCGTCTTCGGAAGAGTCCTCTTCGTCCTCGTCTTCGCCTAGCCCACCCTCCTTCTTGGACTTGAACTTTTCCTCGAGACGGTGGAGTTCCTCGCGCTTCTTGTTGTGCTCAAAACGGCGGGCGTACTCCTCATTGATCTTGAGGTCGGCAGTGGTGCCGAGGGTGGCACCGCCGTCCTGCTCGTCTTCGCTGGACGCATCATCATCGAACAGACCCTTCCTAGGCACAATGGGATCGGTATTGGCGCCTGTGACTCTGGCTTTCGCCGCTTTTGACTTTGGGCGAGGCATCTTGAGGTCGGCTAGATTTGAAGATGCTAGGGCGAAGGGGTGGAAAGTCAATCCTGGCGCATAAAGGATGGAAGACTTCGTTGCGACTTTGACGCCCCCAAATTTTCGTGAACTTTTTAGTGGGGCCCTTTTCGAAGTCCAGTCCCCGGGCTACAGCTGGTGGTACGTATAGTCCAATTTGCCTGCCACGAGATTGCGCACGGTTCACAAAGGCATATATATGTGGCTATGAATCTTGGCATGGAGGGGAAGTTGGAGTCCCACTCACAGCGCAAGCGAGGGGGGACATCGAGGACATGCGACGCCTGCCCGTGGCCCGATGCCTGCTGGATCCCGGCGAGCCTGGCTTTCCGACTGGAAGGGAACTGAACAAGCTCCATCCATTCACTCTCATTGCTGCCGTCTACCTATCACGTCACACTCCGATTCCCAACCCATCAACGATCCTCCATCTTCAAACATCTTTTGTCTTCCAACAGGCAGCCGCCCAACGTCCTCCCTTCCACAACTGCTCTGTCGCTGTCGCATTATCAAAGATAGCCGTTCTTGTTATTGTTCCTCGCTGTAGTTGCTCGCTGCCGCAAGCCCCGCCGTTTCCACAACCCATTAACCCAGATATATAGCAACATCACAACAATGGCCGATACGAACGCGCCCAAGCCGAGCAGCAGCGTCAAGCTGGTGCTTCTAGGTGAAGCTGCTGTCGGAAAGGTGCGCAGTTTTCTGCTCCAAAACCACCATGCTCGAGAAACACATGCCTAACACAAATCGTTCCACAGTCGTCGCTCGTCCTCCGATTCGTCAACAATGACTTCCAAGAGAACAAGGAGCCCACGATAGGAGGTTAGTTCCTGAAGTCATGACAACTTTCTTTGCACCAGTCTAGCTGACACTTTTTTGCAGCCGCCTTCCTAACCCAGAAGTGCAACCTGCCCACGAGGACGATCAAGTTCGAGATTTGGGATACAGCAGGCCAGGAGCGCTTCGCCTCTCTAGCGCCCATGTACTACCGCAACGCCCAAGCCGCCCTTGTCGTTTACGACCTGACGAAACCTACTTCACTCATCAAGGCCAAGCACTGGGTCGCCGAGCTCCAGCGACAAGCGTCTCCCGGCATTGTTATCGCGCTCGTGGGCAACAAGTTGGATCTGACCAGCGACTCGGCCGGCTCTGCCGAGGTTTCCGGAGGTGGCGACGACAATGCGGAGGATTCGGGCGACGCACGCAAGATCTCGACGGACGAGGCCAAGGCATACGCCGAGGAGGAGGGTCTCTTGTTCTTTGAGACTTCGGCCAAGACCGGACATAACGTTACCGAGGTTTTTACAGCCATTGCGAACGCCATCCCCGAGACGTCGTTGAAGAGCGCGCGTGGGCCTGGTGCCTCGCATGCCGGTGTCAGCCGCACAGAAGAGCAGAGGGTCAACCTTAACGGGCCGCGGGATCTCGAGGCAAAGGAAGGTTGCGCCTGTTGAGGGACGATGGACGGATGGATGGATGGATGAAGGGAAGGAGGGATTTGGAGAAGATATTGAACGGACGGTGCGGATATCCACCAGGAGGGGCTGCGGAGGGGGATACTGATGAGAATAAGGGCGTCCATCTTCCGGTTGACGAACAACAGAGCTTTGCATTTTACAGACGGGTTAACGGAGTGGGTGGTCACATTGGGCGGGTTCATACGGAGTATACTTGTTTTCTTCTTTCGATCTACCAATTTCTCTTTCTTATCATCGAAGCACGATATACAGACCCAGCAGTAACAGGCTAATGGAGTTTTTGCCACATATCCTCACCTTGGAGCGGGCGGTTCGATGCCTGTTGGTCAAGTTTGCTGGTATCCTTAATTTTTCCATACTCACATACTATGATAAGTCACATCATGAATACAAGACGGAACACGGAAACCTTGTTGGACCTGTTACGAATCCGAGCCTTATGGTCCTGGCATGCCGAGTATGACTGATTTTATTGATAAGGTTAACTAAATCAACACGGTTGGGTGAAGAGTAAGTGCCTACCTTCACTGCGCCTAAACCCATCATCACCAATACATGGGAATTGCGTGAATGGCTTCACCACATGCTGCGGCCTACTTGTAATAAACCAAGTGTTCAACTCGTTTGATCTTGTAAACGACCTTGTCGTTCTCTTGGTCAATAGCCTCGGCTACTGCTACATGCCATTGTGCTGGCCACGGCCTCGAGACTGCGCCCGGGCTACACTCATGCTCAATGCCAGCTGCGAGGCAAGATACTTACTTATTCTACTAGTACACTACATCGTCATGGAAAGTGGTCCGTACCTTCTATAATAGCCCAAATACCTAGTTCCCACCTACTATCGAACCTGCCTAAGCGGTTAGTGGGGCGTTAGACAGTGGAGGCACGTGCGCCAAGACCCGCCAAAAAATCGCATCCCGCCCCAATTCGGTTTGAGCGCCGAGAAAACGCGACACACCACCAGTCACTTCCACTTCAGTTCGACTTGTAGACTGCAACTGCAACTTGCAGCAGCAGCAGCAGCACGATTCTCACCTCACCTCACGGATTGGCCTTTTGGGCAGAACGGCCTCGAAACTGTACTCTGTGCGTATTGAGAGACATTTGCGCCTCGTCAACCTTTGAGGCCCCTCATCAAGCCTGCGTGGGCTCGGCAACGTGAGCTCCGGCTTGCATTTTTTTTTCGCAACAAGCAACACCACCGAGCAGCATTTGATACGAGAGACATCGCGAATCACATCACTCAGCGATATTTCATACCTTCCTTCGAAGACAGGACGCCAACGAGCGCCTCTCCATGTTCTTGGACTCTTCATTCCTACACCTCCTCTGTCTCTAGGAGGCCGGTTGCGCCTAGGTTGTTGAAGTGCAGGAAATCGCAATGGCGGCCGCGATATCAGAAGAGGCTCTCGCCGAGGTCATCAGGTTCGTCTCTCCTACCCCGCCATCTCCCACTATTCAGGATACACCCTGGTGGCAGGTATGCTAACGACTACAATAGAACTCTGAGCCCAGAAGACATCCCGGCGAAACTGAAATGCGCCATCTGCAGTAGATTGGCTGCGAATGCCTTCAGGTTGCCCTGCTGCGAACAAACCATTTGCGAAGACTGCCGGTCAACACTACCTACCTCTTGCCCCGTATGCGAACACTCGCCGCTATCGGCCGAAGACGCCAAACCGCACAAGTCTCTACGGACCACTATCAGAGTCTTCCTCAAGACTTATTTAAAAAAGCAGCAAGACGCACGCGCCAAGGAGTCAGCCCCTCCTACCCCCATTGAATCGACGCCAGTGTCTACCACGGCACCACAGCTACCTTTGCCTAGCGATTCAGCGCCTGAGGAACAAGCCCCCGCACCAGAGCAGCAGCAGCAGCAGCAGCAGCAGCAGCCAGAAGAGCCTGCGCCGGCGGCTGATGAGCAAGGTGCCGGAGGCGAACATGCAGGAGCCGAGGGTCAAGCGGGAGAAGAAGCTCCCAAGGTAGAAGGTGCTGACTCGGCGGACCACGAAGCCGACCAAGATGTAAGCGAAATCGGTCAGATATTGCTGGCCATGACCACGGGTCACTGACCAGATGACAGGCTACCGAAAACCCTACCGAAAATGCTGCCGAGGAAGAAGCAGCCGACGGAACGCCTGCCGAAGCGGAGGGCGACGCGGCCGAAAATCCCCAAGAGACAAAGGACGGCGAAGAGAATGAAGAAAACGCCGAGGGCGATGATGTACAGCCAAAGCCCGCTGGAGGATTTGGATTCGGGATGAACGGCTTCCCCATGAACTTTGGCGGTGGCTTCGACCAAATGCAAATGATGATGGCCATGCAGAATGGCTTTCCAATGATGGGTGAGTCCGCCCCGTTATGTGTTCCTCTTTTCCAAAACACACCAGATAACTAACCACCCACGACACAGGTATGCCAGGCATGAACATGGATCCGATGAGCGCGATGCAGCAAATGTACATGAACGGGGGTTTTTCTGGCATGGGCATGAGCGGCATGAACATGGGAATGGGAGGATTTAGCGGCGCAGGCGGCAATGAATCGAATAATAACTGGAACGGGCAGCAGTCATCATGGAATGTCGGCCAAGATAATTTCAATCATCCAAATGCTTCTGGCATGGGCAATGGTGATTATGGCTCGTTTAACTCTGGCTCCTTCCAACAAGGCAACTTCAATTCAGGTAATTATGGCAACGGCCAGTTCAATGACTATCGCCGGGGTGGATACGGATTCCGTGGCGGTAGAGGACGTGGCCGGGGAGGCTACGGTTACGGTGGCGGCTATGGCGGCCGTGGCGGCTACAACAACGGCTACGGCAACATGGGCGGCATGAACGGTCCGATGGGCATGGGCGGCAACTATGGGGGAGACCAGAACTACCCGAACCAACAGTACGGGGCAGGCATGGGTGGCTCCATGCACAACGGCGGTTTCCCTGGCGGCAGCGTCAGTGGCGCTTCCCAAGATGGCAACAACGAGAACAAAGGCGAGGGTGCTGCAAGTGCTGACCCGAACGTGGACGAGTTTGGCCGCTCGTTGCGCGAAGACACTGGAAAGAAGGAGACCGAAGATGGCGACGCTGCTGCTGAACAAGATGCTCAAGGGGCTGACAGTGAAGCGAAACCTCCTGCCACTGCTGAGACTGATGGTGATGCCGAGAATGCCACCGCCGCACCCAACGGCGATGCCACAAACCCCGATGCCGGCGCCGAAGGTGATGAAGGATACGCTCACAATGGCTACATGAACGGCGACCCTGAAGGCATGTACCCCGGTGATGGCCCCGGCTTTATGGGACCTGGCGGTTTCGGCGGCAGCATGGGCTTCACCAACGGCTGGAACGGTCCGGGAGGATTTGGCATGAGTATGGGAGGTGATGGTTACGGAGCCATGGGTGGCATGATGCCCCTTGGACCTCCCCAGCCCCCGCCCGTCAACCCAGATGTGCCCGCCAATGCGCCCAAGGGTCCCAAGGCCATGCTAAGAGGACTTCCCAACACCAGTATCAAACATCTCCAAGCTAGAGGCTGGGTAGATAATGAGAACAAGGCGCAAACACCAAACTCCTTTGGTCACGGCGGCCCTGGTTCGTCCCATCATGGATCGCGGTTTGCCAGTCCCTCCGCGACCGCCGACCGAGGCCGGTCTAGGTCCCGAGATAGGGATGATGACTACCACGGCGGAAGAGATGACAGGGATAGGGACTACTACCACCGTGAGCGTTCAGATAGGGACAGAGAGCGTGAACGCCGAGATCGTCGTGAACGATCATATTCCCCCGGTGCCGATGAGCGCAAGGAACACCGTGACCGACGCAGAGAAAGACGTCAGCGCTCCGCTAGTCCCGGTGGCGCTGACGCCGCTCATGGCGCCGAAGGAACCAACAACGATGGCGACGATCAACAGCATGGCCACTCCAGCAGCAGCAGGAGACACAGGAGGAAGCACACCTCCACCACCGTAGCCGACGAAGAAGGCGGCAACCAGGAACGTTCCCGGTCCGCATCCCCTCCCGCCTCCGGTGTCGCCGGCGAAGAGTCATCCCGCCGGTCCCACCGCAGCAGCCGTAAGGAGCGTGACTCGGAGAAGCGCCGCGACCGTTCAGACCGCGATAAGGAGCGCGACAGAGAGCGTGAGTCCCGTTCCGACCGCAAGGAGCGCAAGGAAGGCCACAGCAGCAGCAGCCGTCGCGACCGTGACCGTTCCGACCGGGACAACAGAGACAGCGGAGGTCGCAGCCACCGTGACGATCGTGACCGGGATCGCGGCGACCGGGACCGAGACCGCGACCGCGACCGTTCCGACCGCAAAGACCGTAAGGAAGGAAGCGGTCACGGCAGCAGCAGCCGTCGCGATCGTGACCGTGGCGATCGAGGAGACCGTGACAGAGATAGGGACCGCAGTCACAGAGATGAGCGTGATCGTGATCGCGACAGGGACAGGGAGAGAGATAGGGATCGCTCGGATAGACACCGCTCGTCCAAGAAGTCTTCTTCTTCCAACAACCACGATGCCGATGCTGCGGACGCCCACCTCGACCGACGCTCCTCCCTTGCTTCTAACAATGCCGCCACTGGCCCAGGACCAGCAGCCAACGGCTCTCTAGACCCGCATGCCGCCGAGCGTGCTGCTCGTGATCGCGAGCGTCTGCTTAAGGAGACGAGACGGATGGCTAGTCTTGCGTCGAGCTTTAGTCTGGCGGGTAGCAAGCGAAGTCGGGAAAGCCGGGGCGGCGGCGGCGACAAGGACGAAGAGCGGGAGTCGAAGAGCAGAAGAAAAGAAAGTGGAAGGACGGCTAGGGGAAGAGGAGAAGTGGTCGCCATCTCGATGGAGGATGAAGAGGAAAGGATGAGGAGGCTGGAGGCGGAAAGGGAGGCGGCGAGGTATGATGATTAGAAGTCTACCGGGCCGTCTTTGCGAGAGGAACAACAGGGAGGTCAGGGAGGTCAGGAGCTGGGACGACGCGGGCCGAGGTTCAAGATTGGGAGGTTTGAGGGAGAGCAAAGTGACAGCCAAAGACCCAGGAAGAGAGAGAAAGAAAGAAAGTGGAGAGGCGATCCTGGTAAGGAGACGAGGAGGGCATTGTGGAGGGCGTGGCGGAGGGCAAGATAACCAAGAGTGAAAGCGAACCACTAGTGTGACTGGGTGGTAGCATTTCAAAAAATTGGCTGGTTTTTCTTGAAGCAGTGAGAAATGAAAAGAGAGAGAAAGGCGGCAGCGAAGAATTGCAAGTAAAAAAGTACAACGAACTATCAAAAAGAAAGCCAAAGGGGCGAGCGGCTTCTGAATGTTTTGCGTGTTGTGTTTTGTCTTGCTGGCTGACCGTTTCTTGTTTCCTGCGTTGCTTTTATTGTTGGTGTGATTCTCCGCTATGGCGCCGTTGTTGTCGTTGATCTGTGGAACTTTGTGTCGAAAAC